GCGCCGTAAGCCGGGCTTTGACACCGTCTTTACGCCTATCCTTTGCATGTATTTTCTACCGCTGTTCTCCTGGTGTTCTCTCTAATAAATACTTGAGGCGGACTCGTTACAGCAATGCATGAAAAAAGGCACGGCTGTCTCCTGTCTGACGGAGGCTTATTCGCTCTTTGAACACTTCTACGTCTATCTGCTGCTCCGAATAGATCAATAACATGACTGCTGTCGAGGCGCGGGAGGCTCTTGGCTTCACGATTAGAGCACTATACGCCAAAACGGATGAGGAGCCTACCTCCCCTCCATCAGAAAATCGTTGCATAGGAAACTGCCCAATGAAAAAATAACCGCACGTAGTAAAAACTGGAAACTAGAATTACGCAGACAAGTCTGAGGCTATTATTAGCATTGGGTTTTCCATACAGAAGAAAGAATATCAACTTTATCGAGCTGCCACAACAATGCCAAACCTGAGAGGCTGGTGCGCCTACCGTCCCTCTGCTGCCTAGATTTGTGAGTTGTGTTGGGTCAGCGTTAAAACTGAGTTATATATACAAATAAAATAGATGTGAGGGAAACTGAGAACAAAGCATCGAGACTCGGGGCTGGGCCTGCAGTGGCTTGGAGTGTAACCTACTGAACAGCGATTCATGGAACAAGAACACGAATCCGTTCAACTGCGAATGATGCAAATCCACAAATGCGAATCAAACGAGAGTATAATATAAATATTAACAACAGAAGACATACGCCCGCCGTCCGAGCAATATATTTATTTCTAGCCGGGTCGCAGCATCTCGTCGCAGGCAAAGCTAACAAAGCTTCCTAACGTAATTAGTCTTCTGCATATTCATAATGAAAGTCGTTTATCGAGAGTTTCGTTCAAAGGAATTGCTTTTTCAGTTCGGTACGAGGCTATCCCGTCCTCAGCAAGCTCAGCACTTGACTCTGCTCGGCAGGCAACCATCCAAAAGTGAATAAAATAACGAAGGAAATATTAGCTTATTAGTATTAAAAAGCTACATATCTTCTAAAGATCTAATAACAAATCTTGCTATTGAAGGGGTGGGCCCTCAACCCCGCGTGTCTCGCTCTGGGCCCCTTCGCGGGGCCCGAGGGCCCCTCTGCAGTACCCTACAGGGGGCCCCCTGGACTAAGGTTGCAACATTTCCCTTTTAATGTACTCCATTAGTGATTATAAATATACAGAATTGTTTGTTTCGATTGGTTGAGCTTAGCTTTCAATCTCGTCTCATTCCCCTGTTCCGGCTCACCGCCTAGACCCGTGTTTATCGAGGGGATGATTCATTTCCGTTTTTTACTGTTTTTCTCATTCCCTGGTCCACTGCAATGATTGTTTCTCCCTTTTCTATTTCCTCCTCTTAATCCTTTTAATATTTTTGCACTCCTACCCTGCTGCCTGCTCCGCCTGGTTCGGTTCACAAGAGATCCAGGCTCTAGGGTTCACGTACAGAGGCGTCCAAGCCTCGAGGGATGTTCTTGTCTGCTGTTCTACGGGGGTGGAGGCAGCGGGGCTGGCGGTGGGATACGCTGCAACGAGGCCGGCGGCGTGTGGTGCACATAGAGTATCCGCCGCGAAAGAGATCTCCAGTAAAGAAAGTGAGTGCTGCTGATACTGCAGCACAATCCTTGGACTGGAGCTCCACACGAGCTTTCATTTTATCTATCCTTGCAGAGCTTTTTCCTGCTTTCCTGAGGCCTACTCTCAAGCCGTCTCTGTGTTTTTATCTTTATGTTTTATGCATCACTGAGATCTGGGCTCGGAAGGAAATGGGGATATTTACAGCTGCCTTCTTGACGCGAGTAAATTAACTGGTTGTGTGTTTGTGTGTGTGGTTTGGTGGGGTTGTTCTTCCTTGTGCTGCAGCTCCACGACAGCTACGACAAGCTGCTCTTTGTGTGCCAGGGGTACATAGACCGTCTGTCTATAGAGAAATTGCCTCCGGCTCTGCAGAAACAGCTGCAAGAGATTCGATCGAG